TCCAATCCAGCTCCCTGCCAATGCACCTGGGAAAGCAGTAGAAGATGGCCCAAGTCCTTGGGCCCCTGCACCCATGTGGGAGACCCGGAAGAAGCTCCTGGCTTCAGATCAGCCCAGTTACGGCCATTTGGGGAGTGAACCAGCAGATGGAAGACCTCTCTCTCTCTCTCTCTCTCACTGTAATTCTGCCTCTCAAATAAATAAATAAAATCTTAAAAAAAAAAAGTGCTGGCCATGGCACTCACACCACCAGGCTATGAGCCAGGCCCCGGGAATATGGGATGCACCCAGAGCTGCAAGTGTTCAGCGTAGGGTGCAGGCAGGGAGGGCGGAGAGTTTGGAGGTGGGAGATTGAGATTCAAATCCTGGGACGACCACGAACCAGACCGGGGGCCTTGAGAAACCAGGTAGACTGCGTGAACTCGGTTCCCACGCAGTAGGATGAGGGCTTCCCGCCTTCCAAGGTCACTGTGAAAATCGAACGAGATTGCATTCGCGGATCCCGATGCTCAGGCACTCTAAGCTCCAGTTATAAGAGGAGGAGAACCCGTGCAGCTGCAGCTCCTGACGCTGAGAACAGAGCTGGGCAGGCTGCACTCTCGAGACGGTGCATCCCTTCCCCGGGGAGGAGGCCTGGCCAGCAGCAGTTTCTCCGTGGCTATGCTACGCTCACGGGAGCAGCACTGCTGATTCTCTTATCTCCATGAAGCAGCAGCTACCGCCGAATTCCCTGCAGCCCGGCGGACCCAAGGGGCCCGCGGTGGGCGGGAAGGCCAGCAGCGCCCTCTAAGGGCCGCCGCGTGCAGGCACCGCTGCCTGCCAGCTCCCGGAGACACACTCAGGACTTTGCAAAAACAGCAGCAACTTTTAGGAGGAAGGAAGGGAGGACGCTCACTCATGGGGACAGCGAGTGACTCCCTGACCCCTAATCTACTTCTGTGAAAGCTGAGTGGAACACCGGCCGCCCCAGAGCCCCACCCAAAGACAGCCAAGTGCCAGGGTCCTATGCATCCCAACACACTCCAGGGGAACACACACACGGGGCGCTCTCCTCTCTCCCTTCCTGCAGCTGGCAATGCTCGCCTCTGAGTCTTCTAACGGAAATGCCAGCTCCTGACTGCAGAGGTTGGGTTACAGCTCCAGGAAGCCCGAATGCCCTGAAGTCAGCCCAGGCCACCACGCGGCAGCTCCTCAAACGTTGGCTCCTGGGCCCCCGCCCCGCCTCATCCCTTCAGGTGGACAGGAGGAGGTTCCCTGAGATGTCCTCGGCCCCAGAACCGAGGAAGGCGGGCACCTGCAGCGGTGGGAAAGGCAAGGAGGCGGAGTCTGGCCTGCAGCCTCCCGGAGGAGCACAGCGAGGCCCACCTGGAGCTTGGACCACCAGACCTGCACTGCTCCACACCACTAGGCCTGAGCTCACAGGAAGCCAGTACAGCCCCCCCCATCCCTGCCCTTCCTGTTTTCAGGGCCGTGTGGCCTGAGCACAGGTGTGGATGGCGCTGGCAGCATGTAAGGGTGTGCACTAAAACCAGCACTCTGCAACCCTGGTGCAGCCCCCAAGTCCACAGCGCCGGGGCTCCTGCTGGGCTGACGACTACGCCGGCCCTGGGAGGGGGGCCCTGCGGATCTCGACACGGAAGCAGCCGTGGCAGAGCTCTGCAGGCTCATAGGGGGGGGCACTCTCCATGTGGCATCTCCTGGAAGAGGGCAGGTTCACCAGCCACGGCCACCAGGGGCGGGTGACAGTGCTGCACCCCACCCCAGGCGGCCCTTCCGGTATGTCCTGGCTCTCAGAGCTCCTGGTCTCTGCACTGTTTCCTCTGCTCAGGGAACGAGAGACCACCCAGGTCACGTCTGGGGTGTTACTCATACCTATCTACATAAGATACGTTTAAAATGCTGGCTAACTCCTCTTAAAAATACTAAGCCATTATATGTTGATACAAAAATATTTTTATTTAAAAAAAAAGACTGTTTCCAAAAACAAACACAACTAATCAGAAGAGCAGCATTGTTTTTATATTTTGGCAAAGCTACTCAAGAGAAGATCGTTGGCTCTCCGCTCCGCTTATCTGTTCAATTTGTTGCCATATGTTTTGAAGAAAATCTGGTCTCACACAATATGTGGTTGAAAAAAATTTTCAGTAGCTTTTCCAGTGAATTTTGGAAAACCTTTGATACTACACCAAAACTCATCAGGTAGACGCTTCTCAAAGGTTAGCTGCACTAGGGAATCTGAAACCATATAAGGCATTGGCCACATTTTGCTACGTTTTGTTACAGTACAGACCCACTGGGCTCTCTTGTACTTGCAATGGATCTTTTAGGCTTGCAATGTTTTTGCAACACTGCCTACTGGCCATTTGGATTTATGGGCTCACTTGGTAAAGCAGGTCCCCAAGATGACAACAAGATTTATAACAGAACTTTAGCCTTTGTATCACCATCGATCTCACTAGAAAATCTGTAAGCATCGGGAGGCTCTCAAGCTTATGGTGATGGAGACAACATGGCAACATCTGCATTTTCACCTGGAATCTGGGATACCTGCAGTTCATTCACTGGAGAAAGCGGGCTCCTTCACCCATCGTCAGGGAAAGGACCGCGAAGACCCCAGCCTGAATAACTAGGGTCTGTCTGTACTTGTTCTTCTGGTGAGCGTTGTGTTTTATGAAAAGGAAAAGGAAGGACCTGGTTCAACCCACAACCCGAATGATCACCCACGTGCTTCGCCCTGTGGCTCCTGCTGAGCTTGGCCTGTCAGTAACGGCACGTCAGGGGTCCTTCTCACTTCTTTACACAGAATCCGAAAAAGACAAGCATTCCAGAGTAGAGGTGATGAAAATCAACTGTTTTTACTGTAGCATCAAGGACATTGTTACTGGAACACGGCATGTCTTTTTTTTTTTTTTTTTACTGCTAAGGCCTGAAAAAGCCAATGCCTGCCAGTGCATCCCGACGCCCAGGCCCTGATCCATGGCCAGGAGCTGCAGGTTTACCTGCCAAGCTCTTGCACCCTCAGTGCAAACGTCAGCACGGTGGGAGAGGCCAGACAGCATCTCAGAGCTCCTCTGAGACTAGTTCTGGCTCCAAGGAGTCTCTGAAAGGGTCTTTGCACTTCTAGAAGACCAAAATCAGCCTTGGCCACCCGAAGACCTCCACCGTGGATGCGGGCGTGTTTGGGTGTGCGTCTGTGGGCTTTTAGAAAAATGTATCCTATCGTACAATTTTCATGGATGCAGGGTAGCCCATGGTAGGGACGGAGGTGGGGGTGGCATTGCTTGTTTTTTGCTTTATGCTTTAATTGACCCTGAGTTGAAGGGTCTTATGGTGCCTTGCGAGTTACTTCTGCTTTAAGAAAAGAGCCTGTGGCGCTCTGGGGGTCTGCCGTTCCCAAGGGGAGATTCTGGTGTGGGGGTGGGGCCAGGCCCGGCAGGGGCAGCCTGCTCTGTCCAAGCATTACTTCCACCCGAGGCAGGGAGCGCCTGCCCATGGCCTTGCCTCCAGACCCAGAACACAACACTGGAGCAGCGCCTGGCTGTGTGGAGCCAGGCAGCCGGGCAGGAGCCCACGGCATACGCTGTGGGCCCACGGTGTCTCGCACAGCTCAGGGAGCCAGCCCCAGAAGCTGTGTCCGTTTCTTTCCGTTATCCGTGGAAACAGGGTGGCCGTCCACTGTGAACTGTGCTAGTCCTCCTTTGTCGGTCTCTAGGCTGAGCCCACGTCAGCACAGAGCAGCCGGGAGCCTTCCAGCTCCCACATTCCACAGGGCGGTGAATCACCGGCTCCCGGGGCCATCGCAAACCGCCCTGGCTGCAGACTCGGAGCCAGCCTCACCCGCCAGCCTCGGGGCAGGTGGCAGGGGCACCCGAAAAGGCACAGAGCAGGGGGGCTCCACGGAGATCGTGGACCCCGTTCCAAAGACAAAAGCTCTTTCAGCACTCAGAAAAATGTAACTTAGAAAACCAAAGCCAAGGACCGTGGGTGGGGGCGTTGGAAGACTTCAGAACAGATTTATTCCAGTCGAGGACCAAACAAAACACTCGGGAAGTGTTTCCTAGACATCCCAAAGCCCAGAGGGAAAAAGAGACCCGTGGCCAGCACTGCCCCTGATGACAAAGTGGCTCTGGGCGTCCAGGACTGAGCCCAAGGCTGCCCCCAGCATGGGCGTCCTGCCTCAGAAAGGCGGGGAGCAGGGTGAGCCCCGCTTCTCCCCCTCGCCCTCCCAGAAAGAGCTACACAGGCACCAAGTAGCATCCAGGACAAGCCACCACCTCTGAATTCCTGCGAGTGAGTGACCCCAAACGGCCACTCCTTGGAGCTCTACACACCGACCCCACAAATAAAAGCCACGTTGCTTCCAAGGCGCCAAGGCCTGCAGGAGGGGGAACAAGGACCCCCCCAAAGGCTCGGGGATGAACACTCCCCCACACTCACGCACATATGCACTTGCCTCCCCCCCTCCCGCCCCCCAGGGCACCAGCATCTTTTTGCAAAGCGTCGCTCCGCAAGCAGCACCCACCCTGGCGCCAGCCCAGCTTCGGGGGACGGTGGCTTCTCTGGACCCCAACTCCCCACCCACTCCAGTCCCCTCGGGACCAACGCTTTCGCGTGGCCCCCAAAGCGCCCCGTGCCGGCGCTCGCAGGAGCCCGGCTGCCTCCGGCGCGCAGGGCCCCCGACGGCCCCGCGGCAGCTCGGAGCCTCCCTCCGGCATCTCGGGGGTGCCGCTCGGTCGGGACAGGTGAACCCACCCCACCCCGGGGAAACTGGGTCCGGAAAGGCGCCCGCTGCCCCGTGCAGGGTCGCCGCCGGCCGTGTCCGTCTTTCTGTGCCCGAATCCCCCGGCCCCCGGCCCCGGGGCCCGCAGACGGCTCGAGCGCGCCTCCCGGTCCCGCGGCGGCGCCCGCGCCCCCGCGCTCCCGGACGCGACCCGCAGCCGGCACATCGCCGGCGGCCCGGCGGGGCGGACAGACCGGCGGCGAGCAGCGCGCGAGAGTACCTGGGGCCCCCGCCGAGGAAGCGACGGGGAGCAGCGCGGCCAGGAGCAGCAGCGCCGCCCAGGGCAGCGGGCGCGGGACGCGCGGGGGCGCCCCGGCCTCGGGGGCCATCGGGAGCCCGGGGTGCGCGCGGGGACGCGGGCGGCTGGTCTGGAGTCTCTGGCAACCGGGGAAGGAGCTCTCGGCGGGGTCCTCCGGCGCTGTTCGTCTGGCTGTGCGCGCTGTGCGCTCTGGCTCGTCGCTCTCGGCCGCGCACCGGTCGCCGGCTCTCCGGTCACTGAAGGCCGCGGGCTGCCTCGTCGGAGCTTTTGGCCGCGCGCGGGCGCCCCCTGCCGGCGCGCGGGCGGCGGGGTCGGCGGCGGCCCGGCCCCCGGCGGGCGGGGCGCGGGGCCGAGCGGGCGCGGGGTGCCCCGCAGCCTGGCGGGGGCGGCTCTGGAGGTCCCGCGGCCCCGGGAAGACCCCCTCGCCTGGGCCGACCTCGCGCACCGCCGGGCGCGCGCTCTCGCTCGCTGCCTCGCCCCGGAGCGCGCCTTGTTTCAGCGCACCTGGCCTTGGGGCGCGTGCGGCGCTCGTCCACCAGGCCGCCGTGTCCACCTGCGCCTCCTGCTCCGGCCAGGGGCGCTCCGCTGACCCGGCTTCCTCCCGCTTCTGCCGCGCCTGGGTCGGCCAGGGCCGGGCTCGGGGCGCCCCTGGCGGAGGCGGAGGTCGCGGGGCTTAGTGCGGCCACCGCAACTCCCCTCTGAGGTGAAGCAACCCAGACGGCGCGAACGCGGGTGCAGCCCCCGCGGGCAACCAACCCGAGGGGCCTAGCGCTCTCCCTCGGGGTGACGCCCCCTGGAACCCGGCGCAGGGTCCTGCCAGCCCCTGAGCGCCCAGAGCGCGCACGCTGGCCACACTTCACGTCGCAGGGCGCGCCGCCCGCTTGTCCCCATGTCGTCCCCGCTGTGGCCGCCCTCTGCCCAGCAGCCTCCTCTGGGGATAGTAGTCCCCAGCCTCACCCCAGCCAGGTGGCAGGTCCCCTCCCCACCCCCGCCCCTTCCTAAGCCCCTTCTCCTTGCCCCCTATCCAGCGAGGCGGAGGCAGGGCTGCCCCCGCAGGACCTGCTGGGACAATCTCTCTGCTCTCCCGCCATTCCTGGTGGGACCCCCCCCCTCCCCTACACACACACACACACACACACACACACACACACACAAGATCCGCCTGTCTTCCTCCCTGGAACCTGTCTCTCCGTGTAACCTAATGAGAGGGAAATTAGGGTGAGAGGTTTTCCTAGATAATCTGGTTGCGTCGCAAATGCCATCATGCGTATCCCGGTAAGGAGAAGGCGGTGTGACAGTGCAGGCGGCACGCTAGTGATGTGGCCACAAGTGGAGAGATGCCCGCAGCGATCGGAAGCTGGAAGAGGCCAGGGAGGATTCTCCCCTCCTGCTGGGGTGGGGGTTGGGGGCGGCAGCCCTGCCCACACCCCAGTTTCAGTCCAGTGGCCCTAATCCCAGACGCCAGACTTCCAGAACATTCTGTGTGCAAGCCACCCAGTGTGTGGGGCTTTGTTGCGTCGACCACAGTAAGCGAATACAGTAGCCAGGACAGGCCTGCGGCTCTGGCTGCAGCCTCCGGGAGCACCGACCACAGGGAGCGGAGCCATCATGGAAAGATTCCAAACAGGAAGAAGGCTCGGCTCCACCTCTTTCCCTGCACTTCTGGGAGACAGCGACCTCCCACGGCTAAGTTGAAGTGGGATTTACACCCCACGTAACCACCGCAACTAGTCCATTGCCCCTGACTTTAAAAGCATAAGAACCAGTATTTCTCTTTAGTTTCTCTGCCACCCAAAAGAGGGACCAAGCACATAGGAACTCCCAGGAAATGCTTATAGGCTAAGTGTCATCCACCCACACAACCAGTACTTATTGTGCACCTGCTATGTGCCTGACACCGCTGTGGGCCCTGGGGGTCTAAAGACAGAAGAGCAGGAGGTTAAGTCGGGAGAGGTGAGAGACAGCTGGTGGTGAGACCACGCCGGCGGCGGTGAGCGGACTGAGTGGGGCACGGGGCAGCATTGGGGAGTCCGGCTCAGAGAGGCCGGGAGGCAGGCTCCTGTGAGAGCAGACCGTGCTTGGCTGAGAAGCAGAGCAGGGCGGCGGGCGGGGGTGGGGCACGAGGACTTACGAGGGGTGCACTCGAGGGTGCCGTAGGCTGACTTTTGACCAACTGGATGCAGGGAGAAAGAGAACTCGCAATATACAGCATCACCCAGCTCACTGGCTCTCCACTAGGACGCTTGTGCTCTTCCCTCTTCGGTTTAGCTTTAATAAGTCCACCACATGACCTGACGTGCGGAAGTGTGCAGTAAAAGCTCATCAGAGAGGGGCCGGCACTGTGGCGTAGCGGGTAAAGCCACCGCCTGCAGTGCCGGCATCCCATATGGGCACCAGTTCAAGTCTCGGCTGCTCCGCTTCCCATCCAGCTCTCTGCTATGGCCTGGGAAAGCAGTAGAAGATGGCCCATGTGCTTGGGCCCTGGCCACCCACGGGGGGACCCAGAAGAAGCTCCTGGCTCCTGGCTTCAGCTCGGCCCAGCTCCAGCCATTGCAGCCATTTGGGAACTGAACCAGTAGATGGAAGACCGTTCTCTCCATTCTCCCTCTCTCTGTCTATAACTCTACCTCTCAGATAAATTAAATCTTTAAAAAAGTCAAAAAGAAAAATCTGCCTTAAGAGTCATAGCATCTGTCCAGAATGTGATGTCCCTAAATGGAAGCTTGCCTTCTCCTAATTTGGAGCCCTGTCATTCTTATTGTCCTCATAGGTTTAACTGGTTTTCACATAACTCATTAATCGCTGGTTGTTGCTTCTATTTTGTTCATCAAAGCAAACCAAAGAGAATGTCACCGTGAGGCTAGATGCATCACCTGTTGAAATGGGACTCTCTTCTCTCCTGCCTCCAACTTGGTCCCGTGTTCAATTACTAGCTTTACAAATGAGGCCGCACGCACATCCACACACACTGTCTCTGGTTCTAGTTATTTTTTTTAAATAGCCATGCATCCAAAGAGTTCAACACTCTCCATACACATTGTCACAGCATTCCTATGTGATAGGGTAGACTAAAATGCTATTCTCGTGTGTCGATGGATAAATGGAAACCAAGTTCCAAAGGCCATCCAGCACAAACTCGAGGCGAGTTTGGAAGTGTGCATCTCATTCCATTCATCTGACATCGTATCTTGTCCAGTCTTTAGTCTGGCTGACGTGACTCTGCCTTCCATGCAAGCACCACATTTGCATGCATCTACATGTCCTGAAGCAGCAGCACAGTCCACAGCACCTACTGCATGAGAGTGATGTGCACCCCACTTTTAAGAGTTCTGCATGAGGGGCTGGCGCTGTGGCGTAGCAGGTTAAGCCACTACCTGCAGTGCCCGCATCCCATATGGGTGCTGGTTCTAGTCCTGGCTGCTCCACTTCCAATCCAGCTCTCTGCTGTGGCCTAGGAAAGCAGTAGAAGATGGCCCAGGTCCTTGGGTCCCCTGCATCCACGTGGGAGACCTGGAAGAAGCTCCTGGCTCCTGGCTTTGGATTGGCGCAGCTCTGGCCATTGCAGCCATCTGGGGAGTGAACCAGTGGATGGAAAACCTCTCTCTCTCTCTCTCTCTCTCTCTCTCTCTCTCTGCCTCTCATTCTGTGTAACTCTGACTTTCAAATAAATAAATAAATCTTTAAAAAAAAAAGTTCTGTATGAATGTAGAATGAAAGAGAGCAGTGTACAGAGGTGGCGAGGGACAGACGCAAAATTCAGGCACAACAGACCTAGGGGACAGTGCCTGTCTTGAGGGTCCATAGACAGGGAAAGGTGGAAGGAAACTAGAGACTAGAGGTAGGCAAGTGGACTCTAGCTTCCCAGTTTCACCTTGACATTGGAGCAAGATGATACAAATCACTTCTAAGTGGCATGAAAATAAAACAGTGCTAACGGGGCTTTCCTCGAGCAGTCTCCATCTTGTTCTGCTTCTCACAGCAGCCTTGGAGATGGCCTTGTGATTTTACAAGAGAAAGCCAAAGCCCTGAGAGGTTGTGGGGCCTGTGCTGGGCCCTGTGGGTGAGCGTCCGAGCCCAGGCCAGGCCTCCTCACATCCCCGTCCAAGAAGATGCCTTGGGGTGCCTCCTCCCTCTCTGACTTTGAATGAAAACATCTGGCTGGAGACAGAGTGTAGATGAGTCTGTCATAGTGCCCTGCGTATGGTACAGATGGACCCAAGACCCTTCTCTATCATCCAGTCGGCGACCGATCCCTCCTGGCAGCCAGTTACACCAGACCTGTCGTTGCTGATGTTTTTCACCTTCCCCAGGCTGGAAAGGTGCAGGATAGAAACAGCACTCCTTAAAACACTCCTGTGCGTCCCTTGGTGCCTGCCATGGGCCAACTGGTTTCCACTGAAGGGCAGTTCTCTTTTTTGCAAATACACTGGAAATGAGCGGCACAGGTTAAGATGTCAGATACCCAACCTCTCCTACGAGGGACCTTCCAGCAGTTCATGGAAAATGCATAGTATGAAAAAAATCTACCCATGGATTTCAAGTTTTCGCACCCAAATAAACTTACCTCTTAATTCCATTTTCCACAAACTTTTAAAGCACCGCATGTGCATTCTTGGGGCTCCTAGCCAAGAGTACTTCAGCTGGCAAGATGGAAAAACCCACCGACGTTGCGCTCCAAGTTTCTATCCAATGGCCTGGGCCAATAAGATGTTCAAGGGGCCAGTGCTGTGGGGTAGTGGGCTAAGCCTCCGCCTGTGACGCCAGCATCTCTTATGGGTGCCAGTTTGTATCCCAGTTGCTCCTCTTCTGATCCAGCTCTCTGCTATGGTCTGGGAAAGCGGTAGAAGTCCTTGGGACCCTGCACCCCTGGGACACCTGGAAGAAGCCCCTGCTCCCGGCTTTGGATCCACTCAGCTTCAGCCATTGTGGCAGTTTGGGGGAGTGAACCAGAGGATGGAAGACCTCTCTTTGTCTGTAACTCAACCTCTTAAATAAATAAATAAAATCTTTTAAAATAATGTTCAAGGGTGCTTTGTGATTTTCATGGAGAAAGACACTACCACTTAATTTCATCTTTCCGTGAACTTTTTGAAGTCCCTCCCGTCT